ACGTCATATGATCTTTTTTCTGGTAGTCGGTTTTTCAAACGAGCACTCTGAAAAACTAACAATTTTTGATAGTTTTGTTCTAAACCTATGCATATAATCTTCTCAACATAATCTAATGCATCAATCTTAATGTATGTTATATATATGTACCGTACATTGCCACGTGAGCACACACTATATATAACGTGAATAAGAAAAGAAAATCTCTATTTTTTGCAGCTCTCTATTCGCAGCTCTCTATTTTTCGTAGCTCTCTATTCGCAGCACTTATTCCAGTATTTATCGTCTTGTTCCGCCCTATTATCACTAGTAAAGAATAGAAAAGAAAAGAAGGAAAAATTTTATATATAGACCTATCTTCAAATCTTTTGTTCACTTTAACTACGTCTGATGAAGACTTCGAAGTCAAAACTTCACGTTTGCATAAATAAATAATTATCAAGGAAGAATATAATCAACTCAATAATTGCAAAACTTTTCCCTTCCACTTTACAATATTTGGAGATCCCATGAATTCATATCAAGTTTTAAGTGCTCTATCCGATGGTGATTTTGTATCCTAATAACAAGCTTTTATTTTTTTTGAAAACGAAACTTTTTTTAAAAAATTGAAAACAGCCCAGCCCGTTCAGGATATATTTTATATCCCAATAAGAATAGATGACATTTCATCTAATTTTTATATACTATCCCATACAACTTACATAGCCCACACCATGAGATCCAAACTAGTTTTTAACAGTCTTGAGACCGTACTGATGGGATCAGGTTCCGGTAGAGTTTTGGCCCCGTGGACTTTTCTGCTGGATCCAACATCGGAACATGCCGGAAGTTGTCGGAATTCGGTAAAATCCGGCAGCAACCGTGCCGGATTATGCCGAAAATCCGTTGCTCGGAATCCAGACCGGAAGATGTCGGAAAAGATCCGACATCTTCCGACCGATGAATCTGATTTTGTTGCATGTGGCAGAATGTGACCAGCTTTGAGGTTAAAAATAGTCTTAAATTTTTTCTTTCATTTTCTAGTGGGTCGACTCTCTGTTTATTCGAGAGAGTGGAAGGCTCCACTACCTAGGACGTGTACAACACGTCCGTTGAACAGTGAGAGCGATGACTCACACCGTTAAGAATTTGAGAAGGGCAACTTCTCATTTTTCATTTTCTGTAGTGTCATATTTAAAGTGCACCTGTCGTAAAACAAAACGGTGAATATATTGCGCACAGGAAAAACATAAAATAAAAAAGAAGTACACATCACAGGATCCGTCCATTTCCGCTCACCGGAAATCAACGGATCCGACTGGTTTCGGATATCGGATTCAATCGCCGGATCCTCCAGGAACCAAATATCGGAACGTGAAGAAATTGAACAGATTCTTATCTCCGGATCCGGTCGGGCGTCCGATCTTCGGAAATCTCCGGAATTAAAAGGATCCGATAGGATCTGAGCGATCTGTTGAGCGAATTCGACCTGGGCGGCGAATTTCTACCTTACGATTATTTTTCTTATATCGTGAGTCGCGCCATACTCGGAAAAAAAAGGTGTTCTTCGGTTTTTCAAAGAACCGAAAAATCAATGGGGATTTGTTCCTCAGTTGTGCTAAATAAAGAACTCAAATTCTGTCCTTCAGCTCTCAAGGACTCAAAATTTGTTCTTCAATTTTTGAAAAACTGATTTTTTTCGTTCTTTGGAAACTGAAAAACAAATTTTTAGTTCTTAAGAGCTGAAGGACATTTTTTCTAGAGTGTAAGGTAAGACTCATCAAATTCTCTTTTGCATTGTACAGTCTAGCGGAGCGAGGTGCTAATTCCTGACTTAGTTCTCTTATCTTAGGTCGCAATAGCGAGTCATGGCGCGACTTTAACACTCAAATACGATCTCTATTAGAAAAAATTATCGGAATGCGATAGCAAATAGAATTTTTTGAAAAATAAGAAATTATCGCGATCGACATAGCCGATTACCGTTCACACACCAATTTCTGAGTCGACGTATGCCTGATGAAATGCTTTACAGAAAAGCAACAGCTGGAGTTCAAGGCGGGCGTCCAGATTATCGTCTTAACGCGTTCCTGCTGTCATCTCATCCAAAAATGAGACTTTTAGTAGTCTGTCTGTGATCGTAAACAGGCATTTAAGAACTCAAACAGTTAGTTGAAAAATTTACTTTTGTGCAGGTGGAAGAATATCTCTCAAACTTATATGGGCGAAGTGTTAGCGTCATCCACGTATTCAGGATTTCGGTAAGGAATTAACCAAATGTCTTTTCACCAGGTTTTCTCACTGAATTTTAAAGTTCGACATTTTTTTGGAACGCAAGCCACCCAGTCAGAATAGGGAAAAATAAAAACGTAAAAAGAATTCTTGTACAGTATTTTTATAATTGACCTGTTATCATAGGGTTGTTTTCTAAGTGCTAATTGAATGAAACGAAATATCTAAGGAGTGACTTTGGCCCAATGATAGATGGACCGCTGGTTAGTATACTAGACGAAATGAATTTTTCTGATACTTAAAACTTGTAGCTATCGTACAGAACATCGGGTAGGTTACAGCTATTTTATTTTTTTCTAATAACAAAAAGAAAATTAAACTTAGCTAAAAATCAAGCGGTAGATATAATTACCATACAAAAAGCACAAAAAATATGCAGTTCAAAGATCCATTAGTCAATTCTGATTATGTTGTCTTTTTTAATGTATCATTAGAGAATACATTTGACAATCGATGTTTTAATTCTGAATTTAATTTTTGTATTGTTTTGTTTATTGTTAATCGAGCATTATCCAAATAATCAATTTGATTCAATAATTCAAATCTTAATGATGATATATCATTTTTAAAGTCACGAAAATCGTTATCTTGTTTATCATCTTCACTATTATTTTTATAATGTAATAAAAATCGTTTAACAATTCTCTCAATAACAATTTTGTACGTTAACTTTTCATTTGATAAATAACTTTGTTTTCTTTTGATATTTTTGCTATTATCATTACCAAATCCAATTACAATATGATTAGTATTAATTGGTCCACTATTTGCTCCAACAATTTGACGATTTCTTATTTGAAGATTTAATGGTTGAATTATTTCATTTAGATCAATTGGATTTTTAACATTCTTAGGTTGATTGTTTTTTTTTATTATATTTTGACTAATGGCTTTCCAATTAATTTTTTTAAATTTTAGAAATAGATAAATAAACGATTTTGGTGAAGGTATTATATTGAGTGGAATTGGTATTGTGTTACCTAAAATGAAAAAAAAATAAATTTAAAATAAAATATAAATATATTAAATGTAAAATAGATTACCATGTTTTAGATATTCCATATACAATTTTGAACGAGAAAATTTCCATTCAATATCTGCTCGTTCATCAATTGTATCAAATGATTCATACATCATAGCAATTAGAGTATTAATAAGAACTGTTACACATATGAATGCAAATAATCCATAAAGAATAAAACCAAGATTTGATGAAAATCCATCAAAACCTACTCTATACGTTGATGGATCCGGTGTATTGCACGATCGTGTTATCAATTCATAACCACGATCCTATATTATCATAGAAATAATATACTAGTAGAAAATATTAATAAACTGAGAAAAAACGTACCGGTACATTATTTTCTCCAATAACTCCAAATAAAGTAAAAAATGTTGTGAGTAGTGACGCATCAATTGATTTACCAAAATAATATAAGGCTGGATACGGTCCAACTTGTTCTAAAATATCCCAATTTTCATCCTGTGAACAAGTGCTGTTATCTATATTAACATCCTCCGTATCCGTATCCGTGTTCGAATTCATTAATGTTTCATTAGATATTGTAAAAAATAGTGTTGGACATTGAGCTGTTGAATTATTTTCTAAAACTTGTCCTACTTCTGAATTATTAATATTATTGAGGATATTTTGTTGTTGTTGTTGTGTAACGTAAAAATAGGAGAATAACAAATACAATGAAAATGAGAATGCTATGAAAAAGACAGCAAATATAATTATAAATTTACTAATATCGGCCATCATACGTTCAAGCATAACTTGTAATGGACCAACTAAACGTAATAATGGTAGAAGAAAGCATATACGACAAATACTAACAATATTGCCCATGGCAAATAAACCTTCGGCTATATTATATAAATCAGAAGAATTCCAATAGTATCGATCATTATTAAGCCAATAGAGAATATATCTAGTTTGTTCAACAAGTCGAAATTTTTCAATGCGATTTAAAGGCATATTATACAATTCAACTTTAGACCAATAGGTTTCAGAATGAAAATCATTCAGTGCTAAACGAGTTAATAACATGGTCAAAAAAAGAAGAAAAAAATGCAATAAATATAATGTATTCATTAAACAATCAATATAATTACCTAAAATAGAAAAAAAGAGATGATTAACTGAATGATTGATTAAGTAAGAACATTTACTGTAAGATGTCAAATATCCGCGTAGACCACCATCTTGTATTTGCTTCATTTCATGCCAAATAAAGCCTAATATCCAAATGAATATTGCAATTTGATATGCATTTGGTTCAGTTGGACGCAATACTAAATCACAATTAACTGGTATTCTTGATGATGTGTCTGTTAAATCATTCCTTAATTTATCATTTAAAAATATTTTCTCAATATATTTTGTATACAAATTTTCATCATATACTGATAGTGGTGTCGTTTGTCCAAGATAAACTGTAGATAAAAAACTCGATAACATTATAAGAACAATAAATACTGTGTAAGAAACAATGTAAGCTTTTAATTTTAAATTTGGTTGATTTAATAATGCACCAAATTTTGATTTTGGAAAAAAATAATAAAGAATAGATAAAAATGGTAAACATAATACATACATTAAATAGAATCCTATACGTTTGAATAAATGAGCATTTTTTATGTAATCAATATCTTCATACCATTTTTCCATTAATTTTTGTTGACAATTTGAATGTGATACAAACGGTTTTTCATGATATTGAATGGCTAAATCAAATCGAGCCAGATTTACATATTTTTCTTCAGTAGCTTTTCCAGTTTTATTTAATATTATTTCAAGTTCATCGTGTCCACGTACATAGTCTAATAGTTTAGCAGCAAATGCGGATAATTGATCTGCCAATTTTATATACTCTTCTCGAAAATAATGTTCAACTGTCGCTAAAGTACGTAATTCATGACCCAATTCAAATGCTTGTAAAATAGGATCAGGATAGGTTAATGCAATATAAACTTCACTTGATAAACCTTTATAAGCGCTCAGACGAACTTGTGCTTGACGTAAAGAATCTGATGCTGTACTTTCAGCACAATCAACACAATCACAATGGCTCTTATGAGGTTTCTTAATTCGTTCCCCATTCGATAATAATTCATGTACGATTGGCAAACGATTGTATTGACTGGCTAATATTAATGGTGCTGAAAAAATACAAAATAATGTCGATCACATAACCAATTCAATATATTCGCAGAAAAAATTTTTTTAATAAAATCTTGATGAGCAAGTTCTACTTAAGATCATTCAAGAACTTGAGTAGATTTAATCGGATTCTTAAAAGATTTTGAGTAGAGCTTGCTCATCAAGATTTTTTGTTACAGCTTGTATCTTGACAAATCTTAATATCAGATTCTAATTAATCAATTAAATTAGTTTAAACATATTGGTCAGAATCTTGAGAGATATTTCAATTTTTGCATTAGGGATAGGTCAGTTCCAGTTCAGTTCTTTTAAGTGGGAACTGTTATCAGTTCTTTTCAAAAAATTAAAATTGAAATAAAACCGGTGAACCTACATACATTGACGTTATGTAATGCGCCAGAGATAGATGATGTGTTTAGTCGACTAAACCAAGTCAATCTAACCAGTTACATCGATTTTATTTTATTTTGAATTCTTGAAAAGAACTGGTAATCAGTTCCCGTTCAACAGGAACTGAACCAGTGACCAGTTCTTAGAAACTATAGGAACTGGAACTGTCTCATCCCTATTTTGCATATAATCTAATACGTAAAACAATAGAATTTCATGTTATCTCTTTGCGATGTATTAACATCATAAATCACAAAAAAAGTTTTTTCAACTTCTTGATCTATTTCCTGTCAAAAAATAGAGTTAATGTTCTTAATTAGTAATTCTTTTTGTTGATTCAAGAAAAATTATAAATCTTATCAAGATTCTTACAGACAAAACTTAGACAAAAAAAGTGGAATTAAGATTTGTTAACGACTAATATTCTATAAAGATATTGTACAAATTTATAATTTCTTGATAATATGAGACATTTAACTCACATATATCACTACTGAATTGTGAATCATCGTATGCCTGTGGATGAGTAGGATCCAAAAAGCTACCGTTAAAACATCGATAGGTAGGATGTTTCATGATAAATTCGGCTATATTAATATGTCCCAAATAAATAGCTAATAATAGTGCATCACGAAATTGTTCATACGGAATTTTATCGAGTAGAACTTTGACAACTTCAAAATGTTCATTTTCAATTGCTAATTGAAGAGCACTTTTTCCCATTTTATTTGAAATATCAGCTGTTTTCACTTCACCATCATTCAATAAACGTTCAACAAAAATATAATCTCCATGACTGCATGCATACAGAAATAAATCACTGATATCTTCAAAACTTTTGTTATGATAAATTTTATTTAATGTACCAGGAATAAATGCTTTTCGATTTTGTATCATCTTTAATTATGTATTTAAAATAATCTAAAAAGTATATAATTCAGAGTAGTCATCTTTTAAAATGGTCATAACTTATAAAATACTCAAGTTTTTATTTTGTTCATTTGGTACAAAAAAAAAATTTATTTATCATATGAGATATTCACTCTAGTTTTCTAACAAACACATTTTAGACTTACTAATAAGAAAATCTTCATAAAACAGAAAATTGAGTATTTATTTAACTATATGTTCATGCGTTAAAACATTTTTTTTTATTTTTCAGTGGAACTAAAGCATGTTTTTTTTCAATGTCTCGCATGCTTTTTAATCTTCGCTTACAGGTTCTTCTTTTCTTCTTATGATGAGAACTTTTATCTTACTTTAGTTCATGATTTAATAAATATATAGAAGGTACCAATATGTCTTCTTTTTTTTTTTATCAAGAAACTTTTTTTGTCAGATGTCTGCTGATGGAAAAGAGAAAAAAAAAGACATACGTTCATGACTTTTTTTTATCAACGTTTTTTACTAGTAGAATAGAAAAAAACATGAATTTTATCTGACATATTTTTCAATTTGGTGTTGTAATTTATTGAATTTAGTGAATCTTGTGACTTACCTTTTTTCCATAAATAATGAAACTGAACAGATGGAAACAATTGACAATATTTTTAAAATTCATAATTAAAAGCGCTTCTTCTTTAGTTTTCTAACCACTTCACAAATCCACTACATATGTTGTTCTGTTTAATTCTCATATTATATATCAGTAACTCACATCACATAAGTATTTTTCATTTTGAAAATATTCATCTCATACTTTTATTATAATTTAAAGAATGACAAATTTTGATGAACAAATTTGAATAAATAGTAGTAGGATATTTGTAAACTAAGAAGTCATCCAAATTCACTCAAACTGTCTAAAACTACACCCGAATCTCGTTACAGGCATCTACATCGGTAGAGCTTGACTAGTACATTAAGAAATCACGGACAAAAATTTTCAAAATCATGTACGAAAGATAAGAGAGTGTAAATGTCATACAAACCACTCAAAACTATCTAAATCCACGTGTTAAACTAGACATAACTAGTGCATTGTTACATAGAAAACACAGATAAATCAAATTTTTTTCTGCATGGATTCTTAGGATTGCTAGGAAACAAAAAATGATGTCAATCTTGTTTAATTCGTGAAATTCTTTAGATTCAAGAAAAATTTTATAATAATGACAATAGACCGATTTATCTAGGTACGAGGAAATATTTATTTTAACTCGTACAGAAGTAAATGTCCTAATATTTCTGGAATATGCGAGAAATAGCCTAGACTTTTGCTTATTTCTATTAAAGAGAATTGTATACCCATGAGCGAAGTTAAATAAGCTATAGACATTTTCAAGAAAATTAAGTTCTTTAAAATTCTACAAAATTCCTTGAAGCATGATCTTTGATTCTATATATATATATATACATAAACATACACCAGTCGACGATCACCTCGGTCTAAAAAGCTGAATCAGCTATGTAAACTAAATATTCTTATTACTAATAGTTTAGCAGCAAAAAATTTAATTAAATATAATTATATAATAATAATTTTTTAAACTTTGATTCAGTTCTAAATCAGTAAGAAGCAAAAGTGAAGAAAAAAACTTTTTGTAAGAAGTAATTTTCAGTTTTTTCGGAGCTGATTATGTCTCTGATTCACTCCTGATAACTTTGTAGATCAAGTTGACCGTCGGCTAGTGTATATATGTTAAGACAAAAGATAGTTTTTCAGATATTTTAACAAAAATGAAGATATGTAAATGTAAAGTCTGTAGCTCACGTGCCCACTCTATTCTTTGTGAAGGTTATAAATCTGAAAATAGAGAAAATCTGTTTCTCTTGATATGAACTTAGTAGTTACATGAATTTAAAAAATTTATCTATTGATATTGAATTAGTAGTAAAACCGTTCGATTTACCGATAAATACGCGATAAAGTTTTGATGCATCTATCCATTCCATTGATCCTAGTGCATTATTCTTACTTTCATGATTCATTTTTATGGATAAGAATCCATGCGGAAAAAGTCTTAGCGTAGTCACAAGAAAATGAATGATGAATGTTTGCTTTTATGAAACTTGTCATGGTTTTAATAAAATAGAACTGAAACATTAACTCTACAACTTTCTTTACATTTGGAAAAGATTTTTCGTTAATATTAACTGTTGGAGACATTCTTGATCAGTTATCGTAAAAGCTCTGAAATTGGAAGATCATCGTCATACTAATCAAGAGCTTAAACACATTTATATGTGTTTTCTATACAACAATGCACTAGTTGTGTCTAGTTTAACAAGTGGTTTTAGATGATTCTTGTCTGTGATTTCTTAAGGATATCGTCCCTCTTTTTTGAAAAAATTCTGTTTTTTAGTTGAACATAGCCTAATGTAGAGAAAAGTCTGGACTTCAAGATTTGCTCTCAGCCTTCCACGACATTTTTTGAAGAAGTTATGAACTTTTTAAATTTTTTTCGAAAACTTAACAACACCTTTTTTGTTTCATAAAGTTTTCCCGCGTCTCCAGCGCCTTGAAAATATTTTCTTGTGCATAATCTGATAGAGTAAAGTGTTTTCTTCACAATAAGACGTCTTCCAAAGTTTTCCGATAGTTTTTCATGGAGATATAAGCATCACCGGAAATGGCCCAAAAAAGTACCCTGTCTAACGTTATTTGTAACCAGAGATGGGCCAGTCCAAGTCCGGACTTGAAGGTTTTTTTGATGGACTTGAACTTAGGAATTTTTTTATCAAGTCCGTTTGAAGTCCAAAGAGTTAAAATCTTTTACATTCAACAGTGGAATGGTAGCTCAATCGCATATAATGTGCCTGAATGAAAACTAGGGTTTTCCAGAAAACCCATAGAAGTCCCTATGTTGCAAAATTCTGAACCCTCATCCATTCTCTTTTGCGATGTTCTATCTTTGATATAAGTTTCATCTCAATCAAACATCGGCTTTCCCGGTTCCTAACAGGATCAAAACGAGGGGAGAGGCATTCTTAAGGGTATTAGCCCTCTTTTTGGACCCTCTTGAAAATTGGAGAGACCGATGCTTTGATCGGGGTTAAATTTATATCAGAGATAAAACACCGCAAAAGTAAATCGATTTTTAAATTTTATAAACCTTCTCGCGCCGACAGTTGAAATCGAAAACAATTAAAAAAAACGAATCTGAGATAGGGTCTAAAGTATCTCTCGTCTCAAAATTTCAGCTCGATCGGACCATTTTTTTGAAGGATCGTAGTGTGGCTAGATTGAAGGGACTATTGAAAAAATGCATAGTGAGGAAAGCACATATTGTACGCAGAGCTCTGTTTTTGGGGTATTTGCGGTGGTACTTATATCTTCACAACAACTCATTGAAAAATTCTGGGAGACGTCTCATTTTGAGAAGCAGACTTTCTTCTATCAGTTTACGTATCAGAAAAAATTTTGAATATATAGGAAAGGAGAGAAAAATTTACGAAACTAAAAAATTGAGATTTTCTGGGCTTTGAAGGAAAAATTTAAAAACTTCATAATTTTTTCAAGGAAGGTCGTGGAGAGTTGGGAGTGGTCTTATTTATAGCCCAGGCTGTCCTGTACATTATGCCACGTTCGGCTCAAAATGGAAAACTATTTGCAACAAAGAGGGGTGTACCCTTAAGCCTTAATTTGCTAATCAAACCCTACCGATGCAGACGCCTGTAAAGGGACTGGGGTGCAGTTTTAGACGGTTCGAGTGATTTCGGGTGACCCTGTAGTCTACAAGTATTTGTTAAAAACCATCGTTTGTACCTTTGTAAACTATTTTATTTTTCCATTATGTTAAGCTAAAACGGTAGAGGGTACGAATACCACATGCGCATAGAGAGCAAGGAGAAAAGGAGCTGATACCTGGTATAAATCTTCCATTCGAGTCCGCCCATCATTACACGACATAATAGCCGCAAAAATTTCAACATTCCTGTCGTGTAGAGCATCGAAAATTACATAAAATTTCACATTTGTGTGCGGAAAAGGTCATATTCTACGTGCCTTTTTAGGGATGTGACGTTTTGACCACCCTTACAATAAAGTAACTTTGACTTTGTTTTTGTCTACATCCATAGAGTTAATGTCAACGTTTAATATATCATATGGCAGAGCAGCTCGAGGAGTATAGGTACTGATATTCAAAACGTGTCCTACTACTTTTACAAAGACCGGTCAGCTGTCACAGAAAGTAAAAGACGACACTCAGTATTTCACGACTTTTGAAGGCAAAACAAAACAAAAGCTTTTGCACTATAGATAAAAATGCAGCTAAAGAGCTTAATGCATTTCAATCTTTAAAAAATAAGGTCGATATCTATCTCCCTCTTTGAGTACGAAGCCCGCCTCTGGAGACCCTCTTTTGAAAATAGCCAACTTTCAGGTCTCCCAGCACAAAAAGTACTCAGTCGAATCTTTTTCTTTTTCGCTCATGAGTAGTACTTGTCGAGCTCGACAAAATAGCATTAAAGATATTTTTGATCCGCTTCGTTTTCACTCTGAATTCTCGATCACAAAAGTCAAAAATATCGATTACTGTTTTCAGTATTTTAGTGAAACTTTTACTCTAGTTTTGATTTCAATTCGACCAGAATAGGTTCTAATGTTATATTCAACTTATTCTTAACTTGATTGAATCAAAATTGCTTAACAAATAACTATAGGAAGCACTTTTCGTAGCGGATTTTTTCGACGAATTCTATTGGTCGAGTTAGAATAAGCACTTTGCGAAAACTGTTCCCTATAATTATTTCTTAAGCAATTTTGATTCAATCAAGTTAACATAAGGATAAGTTAAATATAGCAACCTATTCTGGCTCAGAAAAGTCTACCATGTACTTTACAGGTAAAACAATAGATCAAAAAATGTTGAAGAGTTTTTCACTTCTCCGGATGAATCGAAAAGGATAGACAAGATGTGTTTACACAATTGCTTACAAACAACTACGAGAGACATCTATTCCATTAACTTTTTACAGTTCTCTTTTTTTATAAGAGAATTGATCAACAGACGAAAAAAAAATTTTATGCTCTTTCTAATACATATATCTTCACGTACTTTTTGAAAACAAATGGTCAAAATGGATTATGGGAGGCCCAGGTTCTATGAAATTCAAGTTGGCCATTTTCTCTTGGAACGACAAATTTACGATAGATTTTCTTGACCAAAAAATCGGAAAAACGTTTAGACACCTGGATACTTATTTTATTTCCTGTCTGGGAATAGCCGTGAATAACTAACTCTACTGAAGTAGTTGTGGTATGACACGATACTGTGACAGTAATATAATGTATTCTTTATGCTATTTTTTGATTGTGATTTTATTTGAAAAAATTACAGTTAAAATTACAATGCTATCTTTTTAGCTCGTGAACAACTAAATGATGAGTTCGACTTTCGACGAAAACACTTCCCGTACACTGTAAGTACTGAACACTCATCAATTCTGATTTGCTTGTAAAAATACATAAAATATTTTCAGATATGTCGGAAATTTGGAGAATACAGTAACTGAAGATTTATTATTAGCATTATTCACGCAAATTGGCCCATGTAAAGGATGTAAGATTATTCATGAGGTAAGAATCCGTTTCAGTGACGCGTTTTTCCTCTAACAGAACTATATCTTGATGATTTTTTTCTAAATACAAGCCGGGAAATGATCCTTATGCGTTTATTGAATTTAATGAGCATCAAATAGCGGCTCATGCTCTATTAGCAATGAATAAACGGTTATGTATGGGAAAAGTAAGTGAATAGTCTCTAATATTGATTCAAAAAACAGCTTAATGTACCTTATTAGGAAATGAAAGTGAACTGGGCAACGACGTCTGGACATCAAAGCAAAGTTGATACAAGCAGTAAGTTCTTTCTTCTATACCGGGTGTAATTTTTAAAAAAGATTCGCAGACCTTCATCCATCCCACAAATACATCTTGCTGCTTCACTTTTCTCTCCTCAGCACTTTACTAAGTAACAAAGATTTTTTTTTAGAGAAAAGTTTCATATATATATACCTTAATCTCGGCGTTTGTCAATTCATCAAACCGACATTTTTCTATTATACTTTTAGAACACTTTCATATATTTGTTGGTGATTTAGCGCCAGAAATTGATCAAAATACCCTTCGAGATGCCTTCAGTCCTTTTGGCGATATCTCGTAATACTATCCATGACTGTATAACTTTTTAAAATACGGACATACATTTGTTTTTTAGAGAAATCAAAATTGCACGTTTTTCCGATACTGGCAAACCGAAAGGTAGTATATAGCATTCGTAGGTTAAAAAACAGAATCTCAAGTTTTTTATTTTTATTTTTTGTTGTAGGATACTGTTTTATTGCATTTACAAACAAAAACGTAAGTTTTTAGCATATTAGAAAGAGACATGAAAATTAGTGAAAATAATGATTATTAGTTAAGAACGAAGAGAAAAAAGAAATGACTGTTTTTAGATGACCATTTCTAAATATCGAATCAATTCGAATATTTCGGTGATGTCTGTCTGATGTATAGATTCTCAACAAGAAAGTTGAGAGAAAAGTTCCAGAAAGGCAGTCCGGAGGACTGCGCGCTTAGTAAGGACCAGTTTCAGTTTCCAAGGCTTGAACTTTTCTGTAACGGAAAAAAAGCAGTTATAATACAAAATTTATTTAATTTTCCTTATTGCTTTGCGAGTCAAAAGCATTCTGCGTTTTAAACACTTGAGTAATAATCGTTAGAGAATACTGCACTTAAATGATTATTTTTTGAAGGATGCTGAAACAGCTATTGCAAGTATGAACGGACAGTGGCTTGGTACCAGAAAAATTCGAACAAACTGGGCAACAAGAAAAGCCCAAACGGGTCACGATGGACAACGATATAGAGGTGAGAAGGAAAAAGGAGCCCGATACCAATAATCTATAACGGCAAACTTGTGAGCACAGATACTTTAATGTTAGATTGTACCAAATGATGCGATTGAGTGAGAGTGATAGATATTTCTAGTTTTAATTTGTTAGTGTTTGCGTAAGAACATTTTTGCATATGATCTGTGAGGCGTAATTAGATTCTCACGGTAAATGTAGACTTTTAATCATGTTTCGTTTCAATTGAGTTTTCTATTTGTTCAATATTCTGATATGTAAATTTTCTTGTTTAGAAGCTCCAAATCAATCATATAACGAATATTCTCAAAAACTTGATTATAATGAAGTGTGGCAAAGAACCGGTGAAGCAAATAGTACTGTTTATTTGGGAGGCATTAGTGATGTAAACGGTAAAGAGAACATTTTTGTTTTGTTGAATATGCACATTTAGTTACTAATGTTTCTTTATTCAGAGGAACTTGTACGTAATATTTTTCATGTATATGGTCAAATTCAAGAGATTCGTGTATTTAAAGAAAAAGGATATGCATTTGTGAAGTATGAAATTGTCTTGTTATTTTAAAATATTTTTCTATAGGAGTATCATTTTCAAATTAAGATTTTTTTCAAAAGATTCAGCATGTCAGGCCATATGTAATGTACATGGCATGGATGTTAATGGTTATGTGGCTAAATGCGGTAAAAATAACAACTCTGATATTTATAAAAACGATTATGATTTTCAATTGGATATTCATTAGGTTGGGGACGTGATGATGGTTCGATGGGTGGTCTCGGTGGAAACAACAGTCAGGATTCATCGGTAAGAAAGACTTTGTTAAAAACATAAAAGTTTTCCTTGATTGATATATCCATCTAAGCTTTTTTCATTCTTCTCTAGCTATCTGGAATGAATTCCCACATGCAACATATGTCTCAAAATCTCTATCAATCTCCATCGAATGATTCAATCAGTATGTTTAAAAATAAATAAATCATAATTAGTTTGTAATGTTTTGTATTCTTTCTATATTTTTAGTGTCAACAAATTCTCTCAATCAGGGGCAATATGGCTATACGCCTAATTATACACAACAGTATATGCAAAATCAACAACAATCTTGGAATATGCAGACGACACCAAATATGCAATCATCCACATCTCTTTGGGATGGTTTTTCAAAGTACGTATAAGCAAAAACAATACACCACATCCATCTTTTTCCACGTTCGTTTCTTTTGCTTCTATTTCTTATACTAAAATACTTTTTTTTTATGAGCATTTTTGTATCTTACCTATTGGAGACGGTGACAGATAAAAATAGTTAAAGTTTTTTTTTCTACTATTGAAGTCAGCCCTGCATAGGGTAGTGAGATTGCTTTCTTCTAAGCCTGATTTAACAAAATTTTGGGCTTTGTCTTTTCTAGCTCAAATAACAGTGCAGCGCCGTGGAGGATGTCTCAATCGTCTTATCCACATCAACCATCACAGTATACAAATCCAAAATCAGCAGCCACAAATTTAGGTATAATGAAATAACGATATTTTCTTCTTCTGATCTGACATTAGCATCTTTTCTATTTCGTAGGATGGACACCACAAAGTTGAAATGTATGAATAAATTTTTTTAAATTATTATCGTTACAAGTGACTACCATGTTTAATTTTTTAACGCTTACTCGAGTTCTACGACATCAAAAAAATAACAACGACGAAAACGAAAATTTTTCTCTTGTTTTTAAAAACTATTTTGGTTTTCCTCTTATCTTCAGCTCATATATTTAGAGAGAGTGTATATATATATTCTCATTTGTTGGGTCCTCAAGTTTTTTTTCTGTTTTTTTTCTATGGTAATTCATTTGCGCTTTGTTTCGTGTACTGTCTCGGAGATCAGTTTTGTTTTCTCACTCTGTTGTCAGAACGTGCGCTTATTATTTTCCACTATTTTCTTTCGTTTTATTGATCAATTTAGTTATAAAAAAATACAAAATGTGTCTGATTGTTTTTTTATATTGGTCGACTAAAAGCACGTCATCTGTGCTGTTACTAAAAGATTTCTAATTTTCACTTTATTTCCTTATCATTCACATTTTTCTGTCTTTTGTTATATGGAAATAATTTTGTTCTTGTTCATACCATAGGTTTTTTTATATTGGTTTATTGTGCTTCGGAAAATAATATGAAAAGACACTAAAAAATATATATTAATTTCCGTTGACAAATTTTAGATTTTTCTCTCATTAGCAAACCTTCATATTCCAGTTGTAGAAAATAATAATTATGCAGATGGTAGAAGTACAGTCGACAATGAGGTCATAGAAAAGAATTATGGACATTCTAATTAATTCGATTGATAAGCAACTTATGTAAATGTAACAAAAGGAAAAAAATAGTATTGCTGATTATTTTAACTTTGTTTGCTTACTGGTTAGACATCTATGCATGCTAAAAACTCGAAAATATAAACTGTTAATCGTGTTCCTCTACTTAGTACTTCACTGGAAACGCAAGCCTCTATTTAATTATATAGGACTCTGCAGAATGATCAGTAATTGAAAATCTTCATAAAAAAAATGATTTCGTATTTTCCAGTATCAATATAGTAAATATCATTAAAAATAAATTTATAATAATTGTAGCATTGAATTAGACGACGGAATGACGCATTAATCATTTTAATTAAAACAAATTTTTAATTACTGTTTAAATCATCGATAGATGAAAAGGCGCAAAATATGAAGATATCGCAAAGTTGACAAAAAAATTGCATCCTTAACTGGAGTGAATATGTGATAATTAGACGATCAATATCACTTTTGGCAGAACATATACAACTATTAACGAGATCATGTTTTTATGAAGATTTTTAGTTACTGATCATTCAGTATTTTCAACCAATATGATTAGATTTATATGTGAATTTAGTCTCGAAGACACAGGTTGTTCAAGAATAAATATCGTAACGAACAAAATACGACAATATAAGAATATGCCAGAAGTAACGGATGGTCTAGAGGAAATTGCTATTTTTTACAAAAAATGGGTAAATGTTTATTTTGAAAGAAACAGCAGAATAAAATCTACTAAAAATTTCTATCTTGTAGTATCAGAACGAAACCTTTTGAGCAGCTTTAACTTAGGAAAACACTCATAACAAAAAACAGCAATTTCCTCTGGACCATCCGTTATGTAATACAAAATATAATGTTTTATTTCGTCTTTACCTGAACTTGACCATGGTCAAACATGAACTGAGTTGAATACTTATTACAAAAGTTGTTGAGTTATTGTTCTATGTAGACGGATTTATTATAATGGACTATTTCTAATCAGTTGAATTGTAGAGCGGTTTGATGTCAACGAACTTATCTAATCTGTACATATTTGCCTTAGTTCTTTTTAACAAAATATTTCGCTGTTCACGACATAAGATAAGCTATCCATTACATAAGGTAAAGCGAACTTTCCAATATCAGCAATTTTAATTCAACATACAGTATGCTTATGTGTTAAAAATTCTATCCTTTAGATATAGAGGACCGATGAGAGTATCCATGTATGGCCAACTTGTGTAAATGGGTCTACACATTGTAAAAATATTTGGTTTCAATAAACAATGGTTATTTGCGTCGAAAACAAGAAATGACAAAGGTGTTTTAGCGTATCGTAGTCGTCATGTGGCATATGACTGTTAGTAATATGCGTAAAGTAAAATTTGCTTAGTGTAATATCCTTGAAACGTCAGTAATAAACATTACAAGACTATTTTGAGTCATGGATGTAATGAATTCCGCATGAACAATAACGTATTCACATCTTCAATATATTTCTATTATTGGGCATGCTATGAAAAATCATGAATATTCTGACGTATTAGTACATACAATCTTCTTCGCCTCCATGTGCAGTTACATGTTTTCATGGTATCACTCCTCTTTTGTAACTCAATGAATAATAAGAAAAAGGCAAAAAGATTGAATTGCGTTGTTGGAATCGCATACACATCAGAAA